TCATGTCATTCTTTTGTGAGTTTTTTCACACAGTTTAGCATATCAAAGTATTCCGTTGTGTGCATGCACCATAGTTTGTTTATCCATCCATCCATGCATGGATGGACACTTAAAAGTTGTTTTCATCTGTTTGCTAATGGGAATAAGGTTGCCATTACGAATGAGTATATATCTATTCCTGTCATGGCTCGTTTCTCTAGGATATATACCTAGTTGTGGGACTGCTAGATGATATGGTGTTTCTATTACCAACTCTTCAAAGAAGCTCCGTATCATTTTCCACAGTAATTACAGTATTGCACTGTCCCAGAAGCAGTTGGGGGCTGAGGGAAGTTTTCAATTTATCCACATCCTCACCAGCATTTGTATTTCATAGTAATTTTTTCTAAACTTTGCTGTTGATGCTAGGGTATGATATCTCACTGTTACTGTATTTTGCATCTTTCTAATACGTAATGATCAAGAAGATTTCATGTGCTTGTTGGTCACCTCAATGTCTTCTTTGATGAAGTTCATGTCCTCTGCTCATTTTTAATTAGATTGCTCTTTTCATTGTTGAGGTGTTCAAGTTGTCTATAAATTTGAGGTATTAATCCCTTGTCTGATGTATTGTTACTTAGAAAAATTTCCTAAGGCTTTAGGTTCTAGTATTATTGCTTTTTTGGTAAAATCTTTGGGTATGCATAAATGTTTAATTTGTAGTAAGTCCCAGTTATCTAATTTGTTCTGCTATTTTTGCATTTTTGTTATGTTTGATAATCTATTTATGACATGTACTAGGGGCCCTAACTTTGCCCATATTTTTCTTTGATGATCTTTATAGTTTCAGGTTTTACATTCAGGTCTTTGATCTTTCTAGAGTTAGTTGTTGAATCTAGTGAGACATAGGGAGACTATTTCATTTGTCTGAAAATGGATAACTAGTTTTTCCAGTACTGTTAGAGAGACTATTTCTTCTCTATTTAATGGGCTTAGACCATCTGACAAAAACCAACTGTCTATAAGTGGATTTACATTTGGGTTCTCAATTCTGCTGCACTGGGCTATGTGTCTGTCACTGTACCAATACCAGGCGCTTTTGACTTTTGTGCTTGTTTTAAGATCAGGAAAATGAAGCCTCTTCCTTTGTCCTGTCCTTTGTTGAAAGTGGTGTATTAGTTTCTATTCTGTTAGCTTACACATTGAAGGTTCTTTCATTATGTACATAGATATTATGATTGTTTTGTGTTGAATTGAGCCTTTTAATAATTATATAATGATCTTCCTTGTCCCTTTTGCTGGCTCTTGCTTTGAAAACTGTTTTCAAGTCCTTGATACATGCTTTTAATCATTTGATTTTTAGCCTATTTTTGTGCTGTGTCTAAGATATCTCTTGCAGGCAGTAGGAATGATGGTTCAGGTTTTCTTATCCATTCTGCTAATCTCTTTGACTGGTGCATTTAATCTATTAATGTTCAGTGTAATTATCAGTTGGTATTAATTTAATGCTGTCATTTTGCTATAAATTGCTGTGTGTATGCATGATGTTGATTTTTTGTTCCATATATATTTCTGTACTGAGGTCAGGGGAGGTTTTTTTTTTATAGATTTTATCATTTTCTTCAATGCTATTGGTTTATTATTTACTGAGACTATGTGATTGTTTTGTTTTGGTGTTGAGATCTAGTAATTTTCTTTGAGGCCACCCTGCTTAAAACCATCCATTCTATCTTGATATATTGATTTCTTCTCCATTAGAAAGTTCTGTAAGTTCATCATTATTCCTTCTTTATGCTGTATACTTCGTCATTTACAAAATAATGTCTCTTGTCCCCCATTTTCAGTGTGGTAGGTTTATAGTAATTTTGATACTATTATAACAGGGTTAGTCAAAGCCCTGGTTACACGGTGGGTTATATATTGAGCTGCTGACCTCAAATTTGGTGGTTCAAATCCACCAGTGACTCCAAAAACAAGGCTGTCTGCTCCTATAAAAATGTATAGCCTCAGAAATCCTAGAGTTCTACTCTGTCCTACAGGGTTGCTGTGAGTCAGAATTGATTCAATGGCAATTCATTTTTAAAATGAGTTAATTTCTAGGTGATTTGTATGTCATAAACTCATTGACTGCCATGATTGGTTCTCTGTCCAAAGGATTCCCTCTTATCATTTCTTATATAGCTGGTCCAGTTTTCACAAATTCCCTTAATTCCTATTATCTAGCAATGTGCTAGTTTCTCCATCTTGGTTGAAGGGCAGTTTTGCTGAATATATAATTCTAGATTAGCATTTTTCTCTTGCAGGATTGTATATGCATCATCGCATTGCTTTCTTGCTTGCATGGTTTCTGCCAAGAAATCAGACCTCAGTCTTATTGGTTCTCCTTTGTAGTTACCTTTTCATTCTTCTCAACATGCTTTCATGTTTGTCTGTCTTGGAAAGCTGGATTATCACATCTTAATGATTGTTTCTCAAGCCAATCCTATTTGAAGTTTCTTGCCTGCATACCTTCTCATCTTTCATTTAACGAAGTTTCCTTCCAACCAACATTTGACAATGCTCTGGTTATTTCCTTAGTCTCTTTCCATCCTAGAATTATGATCACATGTTGTTATTCCTATTAATGGCGCTTCACATAATTATCAGGCTTTCTTCTTCTTTGGTTCTTTTACTGATTATTCTTTTAATGCAGTGGTTCTCAACCTGTGGGTCATGACCCCTTTGAGGGTCAGACGACCCTTTCACAGGGATTGCCTAAGACCATCGGAAAACACCTGTTTCCAATGGTCTTAGGAACCAAGACACTGCTCCTCTATCTGTCTTGAGGCGGGTCTGCCCACATACAAGTACCTGGCATGAAGACTATTACCCATGTTAAACCATGCTTCAAGACAAAATTTCATTTACTTATAATAAGAAATAAATATTTCACGATAGTTACATATTGTTTTGTGATTAATCACTATATTTTGTCCAATTTGTAACCATGAAAATACATCCTATCAGATATTTACATTATGATTCATAACAGTAGCAAAATTGGAGTTATGAAGTAGCAACGAAAATCATGTGATGGTTGGGGTCACCATAGCATGAGGAGCTGTATGAAAGGGTCGCAGCATCAGGAAGGTGGAGAACCGCTGCTTTAACAGATTGAGGTTTATGTTTGTCTTCCATTGGTTCAATTATTCCTTTGCCTTTTCAATATATTATCTATTTCTGAAATTTCAGTATATTCTGGATTTCTATTTGCTACTTTGTCTCACACCCATGTACTAACCAGGCCTGAGCCTGCTTAGTTTCCAAGATCAGAGATCCATTGAGTTCAGGGTAGTATGGCAATAGAGCAGGCATCCTCAAACTGCGGCCTGTCAAGGACATTTATCCGGCCCACCAGGTGTTTTTGCCCCATTTGTTTTTTTACTTCAAAATAATATGTGTGCAGTGTGCATAAGAATTTGTTCCAAGTTTTTTTAAAACTATAATCTGGCCCTCCAACGGGTCAGAGGGACAGTGAACTGGCCCCGTTTAGAAAGTTTGAGGACCCCTGCTATCGAGTCTTATTTGCTATTCTTTGACTTTTGTTCTCTAATGCTCTTCTAGTTGTTTTCCATGGTTTTTGTTTTCCTTGATCTGCCTCTCAATCCACTGAACGTACCTAAATATTAGTTCTTGAATTGCTTAGCAGGTAATTCAAACAGCATTTCATCTTTTAGTCACTTGTTTGAACGATCTTGGCCTAGTTGAGTATATGTCTATGTGTATATGTGCGCACCCATGCTTTGAAGTTACCTGTTGTCTCTCAGACACTGTGGTCTTACTGTGTTAGTTTTTTTTTTATTGTATATGTTGGTTTTTTTCATGCTGATTTGTTTTAATATATCCAAGCAATAGGATGGGACTGCTATTCTGGTTGGGTGTTGGTTGCTGTCAGTCATTGGTCCGATGGTGCCGAAGGGCAGGGTGGCACTCATCAGAATGGAGCAGCAGTTGTGGCAGCTAAGGCTGGAGGTGCTGCTGGCTCCTGACTGCTGGGGAAAGATAGAGAATGAGAAGTGGTAAGTAAGAAAGTGAGAAAATCAACAGGGAGAAAAGGGACAAGCTAAGGAGGGAAAAAAAGGGGTAAGTGAACAATTTTTGAAAGGTGACAGTGTACTGGTGCCAAGTACTCGCCACCAAACATAATGACAGTGGAAATATGGTGCTTTCTCCATAGGAGCACACACTGCCAAATGCAAAGGTCAGGATGGGTGCCACTGAATGTGGATGTGATATGGTTGTAGGTGGGGCATTTGCTAAGTAGGATAAAAAGAAAAACAGGAGGGAAAAAGAAAACACAAAGGGGGTAAAGTGGAAGAACTAAGAGCAAGAGTGCGGGAGAAGTGGCGCCACCCTAGCCAGCAGTCATAGGCGCAGCTGGACCACAGAGCTCACTCTACGAGTGTACACCACATCCGGGAGGGTGTGGCGGGTGTTGCTGACCACAAGAAGTGGGAGGATGGCAGAACTAAGAAGGACAAATGAGGCAGGGGGTGGGGGAGAAACAGTCCATGATGAAAGTGCTAGCTCCCAAACATAACTGCAGCAGAAAAATAGACTCTCCGCAAAAGCGCACACCTCCTCCTATCAGGACGGACCTTAAGCAGATGCTGTTACGCAGGGGAGGCAGGACAGGGGCACCTACTCCAGGGAATCAAAAGAAAAGGAGAGGTCAATGAAAAGACAAAAAGTAAAAGTAGGGAAAGAGAAGAGAATTAAAGAAAAAAAGTGACACAGCACTGGCAGTGGGAGATGTGTCTATCCCTGTCCCATGACCAGGTGGGTGGGAGCAACAGGGCCTGGCTTCTGGTCACTGGGAGATTGTGCAATATGAGGTGAGAGATCACACCTCTGTGGTCAACTGTCGCTGATGTGGGTCTGGGGCAATCTTGGGAGAGCAAAGCTGAATACCTGGTTCCTTTCTCCCAAGACCTCCAAGTAAAATTACATATGCAAAGTATACAAATGTTTTTTGCATAGTCAAACATCTTTTATTTTTCACAACCTAATTACCAAAACACAACCAACTGGTTCCAGAACAGTTCCAGATTTCTTTTCTTTTTCTTCTCTATTTAACCAAACTAAACAGTTTTTTAAAATAAACATCTGCAACAAAAAATAGAACAGCAATCTATCCTTCAAAGTTGTTGGCTTCATCAATTTTTGTCTTTTCCTTATAGTTATTCAAGTTGTCCATCTTGAATTCTTCTTCCTCTATATATTCAGTACATCCAGTATCTTTTACTGCATTTGGAAATGTGTTTGCCACCTTTGGAGGCAAAAAGTATTCAGCATTCAAAACTTGATCAGCCGTTACTGAGCTTCTACAAGAAATCAAGCTAAAAAGGAGGGACTTGACATGCTCATCCTGAAAAGAAAAAATGAAAGAGTTTGGTATTTTTTAAAAAGCATTTTATTGGGAGCTCTAACAGATATTATTACAATCCACAATTCAATTAGATCAAGCATAATTGTACAATTATTGCCACCATAATTGTCAAAACGTTTCCTTTCTTCATGAGCACTTTGATATCAACTCCCCTTTATCCCCTTCCCTCCCCCGCCCCCAGGAACCCATATATATATATCTTGAATAATATGAATTTATATTAAAATATATATATTGTCATATCTTACACCATCTGATATATCCATTCACCTACACTTCTTTTATTCATTCCCCTCGAGTGGGGGGGTTATACAGTCATCAATGCTATTGGTTCCCCCTGTCCCCCTCTTCCCATACCCTCAGGGAATCATTACTCCCAATACTATTTCTGAAGGGTTTATCGATCTTGGGTTTCATGCATCGAACAACCTTAACTATACAAATGAACATACACAGGTCTCACAAGATTAATGAGGTAAAACTAAGACCATAATCGTAGGGGAAGAAACATTAAAGAAGTAGAGAATAGTCATGTGTTTCAATATATCATCCCTTCCCTGTGGCCCTCCTGTGCAGCACTGTGCAATTATCTTATAGGTGGGTTTGGGGTCTCCACTTTGTCTACACTCCTTCATGTCAATCTGATTGCATGTTTTTGAATTTCTGATACCTATTCCTGTGGACACCTAGGCTGAAGTACTTCATCTACGTGGGCTTTATTGCTTCTCGGCTAGATGGCCACTTGTTTAACTTCAAGGCTCTAAGACCCCAGACGCTATATCTTTTAATAGCCGGGTACCATCAGCTTTCTTTACCACATTTGCTTATGTACCCATTTTGCCCTCAGTGATCATGTCGGGAAGATGAGTATCATACATTGACACATTATTAGAACAGAGTGTTCTTGTACTGAGGTAAGATTTAAGTAGAAGCCCAAAGTCCAGCTGCATCCTTATTGTACTTACATTTATACATATATGTGTATATATACACACATAAATACACCTATATGTATATCTATATATAAAATTTTTACTTTTTCTTCCTTTTGAAAAAAAAGTTTTAGATGCAAAACCAACGCTAAAAGAAACAAAAGAATACATCATAAGCGAAATTCAGAAAAAAATATGCTTGTGCTCAGTAATATAAATTAAGTCCAGTTTTTTCTAATATTGAAGACTCTTACAGAATTCAACATTTTATCAGAAAAATGGTACCTCCAGAAATTTAAAAAAATTTAAGTACAGGGTAAAATGGAAAGGAAAAAAAGAAAATCACAACCAAATAGTCTCAAAACCACAGGATATTTCATGACCTCCCACTTCCCTTCTTTTATAAGACACAAGAGAGAGCTTAGCACTGTGGACATTTCACATTGTGCTTCCTTTGCCTGGAAGAGCTTATAACCCTGTTTCATTTGATCAACTATTTCTGGCTTCAGTTTTGAAATTATCTCCTTCTACTTCCACACAATTAACCAGTAACAGTTTCTATCGGTGTGCCATGTTCTGGTTGGGAGACAATGTAGGGGACTTGGGAGATGACAATAATGGAACAGCAACATCATAGAGGCGTTCACTTGAGGCAATATGGTTAACATGCTTTGAAATAGTGGCCCATAATAAATTCTGGCTCCTTTCATAATTATGGTAATTTATGACGGGCCACTATAACTATCACAACCAGAATATGGCACACTGATAGAAACCACCTGGATATTGTGGTATCCCTGATATTAAGCTCTAAGATCCTGTAGGTCCGAAATTTTCATGTTTCCCACTCCAAGCCCAACAACTAGCATAGTATCTGGAAGATAGTAGACATTCAGTATATATTGTCTAAATTAATGTATGCCAATGTTCATACTGTTCTCTATAGAGTATATGTTTTCACATATATTTAAAAATATTGCCTTTACCAGATACAAATTTAACTGAAAATCCTCATGAAGACAATTAATGCATCCCTTCAGAAAGCACAAAATTTATTTTGTACAAATAGTCATATATCATAGGACACACACATACAAAGATTCCAATTGTAGAGGTGAAGATTTTTACTGTTATATTTAGTTTATATGATGGCAATAAAAATACAATGGCTCTTAATCCTTGTTGAATGCAGAGATCACTTAGAAAATAATAAGCTGATGGGGGGAGTACGGAGTGGAGACCCAAAGCCCATTAGTAGGCCACTGGAGATCCCCTTGCAGAGGGGTCTCGGGGAGGAGACGAGCCAGACAGGGTGTGATGTAGCAATGATGAAAAATACAACTTTCCACTAGTTCCTAAATGTTTCCTCCCCGCTCCCACTATCATGACACGAATTCGACATTGCAAGTCTGGCTAGACCAGAGGATGTACACTGGTACAGATAGGAACTGGAAATACAGGGAATCCAGGGCGGATGAGCCCTACACGACCAGTGGTGTGAGTGGCAATGCTGGGAGGGTAGAGGGAGAGTGGGTTGGAAAGAGGGAACCGATTACAAGGATCTACATGTGACCTCCTCCCTGGGGGACGGACAACCGAAAAGTGGGTGAAGGGAGACATCGGACAGGACAAGATATAACAAAATAACAATTTATAAATTATCAAGGGCTCATGAGGGAGGGGGAAGCGGGGAGGGAGGGGGAAAATGAGGACCCAATGACAGGGCCTTAAGTGGAGAGGAAATGTTTTGAGAATGATGAGGGCAATGAATATACAAATGTGCTCTACACAACTGATGTATGTATGGAATGTGATAAGAGTTGTATGAGCCCCTAATAAAATGATTTAACAAAAAGAAAATAATAAACAAAAATAGTAAAAAAAGTATGATTAAAAATAGCAATGAGGAAAGAACTAGCTCTGTCACGTATTAAATGATAGTGGGAACCCTCTAAAAGTAAAAGCTGGAGTGTGAATAAGCAAACGCACAAATGAAGTCCGCATATAAACCAGGTGGCATTTCAAACAGGGCAGGACTAACTCTTAAAGAGTATGAGATATTGGAAAATTGGATAGTAGATAAAGATAAAATTCAATTGTAGTAGACTACACACTGGGTGGGTTAACCTTCAGGTCAGCAGTTCAAACCTTCCAGTCACTCCAAGGGAGAAGGCTGGCTATGCCTATAACGATTTAAATCTCAGAAACCAAAGGGGCAGTTCTACCCTGTCCTTTAGGGTCACTGGGTCAGAAGTGACTCGATGGCAATGAGTTTAGGTTTTTTGTTTTTGATTTCTCACACCAAATAGCAGGATAAGTAAAATAGATCAAATATCTAAATGTGAAAAATAAAATCATAACATACTAAAAATAAGTCATTGTCTCCTTCTCACATGTTATAAAATTTTATGAATTGGTAAAACCTAATTAAAGAACAGACAGGTAGGTCCTAAAAAAAATTTTTTATGTGAGAAATTGTCCTGACTATATATCAGGGACAAACCACAAAGAAAATAATTATTTCAAGTTACCTTAATGGACTACAGATAAAATGGGATAGTAACAAGTCAAAAATAAAGACTTTCAAAGTACAATATGTTAAATTGTACTTAGTAACCCTACTATTTGTACTAATATCAGTGTTATTTCAAACTGTTATGTTGTAAGATAAGCATATGAAAGATAATCATATTTTACTGAATTTAAGACACATTCAATTTTTCAATGCTAAGGAAATTAAAATACTGTGTATCAAATTAAGAACCAATGATAAAATGCTTTGATTGTGAGAACCCAGTTAGAAAGATGATAAAATAATTAAAAAATCAATATAATCCATTAAAATGGAAATTAAAGCCCTAAATAAATGGAGAAGCATCACTTTCCGAACCACAAAAACGTAGCATTAAAATAGCAATTCTCCCTCAAATTCACCTATAAATTTTGCATTATTCCAGTCTCAACAATGTTTTTCCAGAGAACTTAAGCTGATGCTAAAATCCATATGACACAATAAAACGCCAGTAACAGTCAAGGCACTATGGAGACGAAACATAAAAGAGAAAAACAGCAGCCCTCCACACAACTATGCTATTTAAAACAGTGTCACACTGGCAGAGCGATTAATAGACAAATCAGTAAAATAGAAGGAAAAACAGGTCCGTGCGTATATGGAAATTTAACACACAACACAAGTGACAGTATTATTTGGTAATATTAATAACTAATTCGTTAAGGAGTACTAAACAGATGGTGTCAGCTCAACTATGTGTTCACATACGAAAGAAGGGAAAAGTCGATGCTTACTTCATACAAACATGAATTCCAGAGGAATTAAAGATACAGAGGGAGACAAACAAAGCAGAATCAAGAACAAGAGTTGCACATAAAGAATAGTCAACAGAAAAAAAAATTCCACCAATGTTTAGTAAGCATCTGCAACGTGTGAGGCTGAGGAAAACGCTGAGGCAGTTCTACTCTATCATGTAGGCTCACCATCAGTCAGAATCAACCGAGTAGCATAGAATCAACAGCAGCAGAGCATAGCACCTCCTCGCACACCGCCAGCAGATACACCCACTAAAATGGCTCAGAATTCCCACCCTTGAGTGTGGGCTGGATTTAGGGAATTGCTCTTAAGAAACAGAAAATCACCAAGCAGTGGGATGTCGCTTTGGTGATTTCATTATAAAAGTCTGTGGCAGAGGGGAAAATAAATGAGCTGATACCAAGGGCTCAAACAGAAAGAAAATGTTTTGAAAATGATGGCAACAAATGTACAAATGTGCTTGACACAACGGATGGATTGTGAGATGAGCTGTACAAGCCCCCAATAAAATGATTTTTTTAAGTCTGTGGCTTCCATTTAACAAGGTCTCTCAACTTACACACTTACGAAGCAAGCTTTCGGGCTGAGACCTTGCAGATGTTTGAGGATAACCATGACAGGCTGAGAATCATCCTCAAACATCTTTGTTATTCCACTCTACAGGGATAGCCAGAAAGTGTGGGAGAGCCCTTCAGTATCTCCCAAAAGCTGCCTCTGTTTTCACTACAACACAAGAAGCACAGTCATCCCCTAAGAGTCATTTTTATCATTTCTAATGTGTTTTTAAATTTTAAATTTCACAGAATATGTTTTAAAACCCAGTTACTATCAAGTTGACTCCAACTGTGGGCAGCCCCGTTGGGGACAGCAGTATTGTGTTCTGTACTGTTTTGGAAAGAGACTGCCAGGTTTTTCTTCCCAGGTGTCTCAGGGCGATTCAAACTTCCAACTTTTCAATTAGTCACCTCAGCCACTAGCCATCTGTCCCACTCAGGAACTCCTCGTGGGAAGGGAGTAAATATTGTTGCTGTGTGCCATCAAATTAATTTCAACTCACAGTGACCACGCATGACATGACAAAACTGAGCCACAGGGTTTCCCAAAAGCTGTCATCTTTGTAAGAGCAGATCATAAGGTCTTTAAGTCTAATAAGTAGCTGGCAGGTTTGAACCTCCAGTACTCAGTTAGCAGTGAACACCAAAGAGATCACATACCAGATTAAACGGATCCACGTCTGGGATTCCATCTTCATTTGTCTTAAAGTCCTGACTTTGAACAGAGAGCTATAAAAGAAAATATGAATTAATACATTTCCCACACACCAAAAGATGATTCCTACAGTTAAAACCTGTCACTTGATCCCCCCCACCCTCTGATATACTTTGGGCCTGATATGGTTTTCAGTATTTTTTATGTTTTGTTTTTTTCACAGTGGGATTTATTTTTTTTCTCCTGATCTTTTTTTGTTTAAAATCATCTTACAGCTCTTATAACAATCCATACATCAATTGTATCAAACATATTTGTACATGTTACCATCATTATTTTCTAAACATTTACTTTCTATTTGAGCACTTGGTATCAGATCCTCTTTTTTCCCTTCCTCCCTCTCCCATCCTCATAACCCCTTGATTAAATTATAAATTATTATTTGTTCATATCATACACCGACTGCTGTCTCCCTTCCCCCATGGTTTCAGTTGTCTCCCAGAGTGGGGGGAGGGCAGGAATGGTTATGCAATCGGTTCCCCTTTCCTCCCTTTCCCCCCACCTTCCCCCTATGCTCCTGGTATCCCTACTCCCATTTCTGTTCCTGAGGGCTTTATCTGACCTGGATATCATGTGTCCTGAGCTTTTTTTTTTTTTTAATCATTTTACTGGGGGCTTGTACAACTCTTATCACAATCCATACATACATCCATTGTATGTCAAGCACACTTGTACATTTGTTGCCCTCATTCTCAAAACATTTGCTTACATCTTAAGCCCCTGGTATGAGCTCCTCAATTTTTCCCACCCTCCCCACTTCCCCCTCCTTTATGAACCCTTGATAATTTATAAATTATTATGTATTTTGTCATTGCTGGTAGTCCTCTTAAATTTCTGGTTTTGTTTTTCGGTGTATGAAGAGCAGGATTGATGACCCTATAGACACAAGAAGAGCAAGGGTTCCAGGGAGGTATGGGGTAGGCAGAGTAAGGGGAGCTGATATCAAGGAGTCCAAGAAGGAAGAAAATGTTTGAAACTAATTATATTAGCAATTGTACTATACTGCTTGATGTGATTCAACTATGGAGTGGTGTACCTGTAAGAGCTCCCAATAAAATGGTTTTGGAAAAAATTAAAAATATTGTTCGTATAGAATCTGAAAACTTCAGATGCTGGTTAAAGATTAGACAAAAGCCCACTTAAAGTGGGTACGTTAACTCTAGCAGAATAAAAAATATCCATAGTAATCATGTGTTCCAGACCATGCGGTCTCAAGCAGAGTTGATGTGGTAGTACTGCTGGAGTCATCAAGTCAGCTCGATAGAATAAAACCGCTTGGTCCTGCTACGTTTGGGCCCATTGGTGCAGCTACTGTGTCGATCCAACTCATTGACAATCTTGCTCAGTTTTTGCTCCCCTCTACCTCAAGCAGGGCACCCTTGTCCAGAGACTGGTTCCTCCTGATAATATGTCCTAAGTGAAGCATCTGGCTGTATTTCTTCCAAGACAGATTTGCCCTTTCTTCTGACAGTCCCTGTCATAGTCAATATTCTTCACCAAGCTTTTGAATGCAAATGAAGTGACTGAAAAGACCATGGCTTGGGTCAGGCACACCATAGCTTTCATAGTGACTTGTTAACACTTGAAAGAAGTCTTTTGCAGCATGTTTTCTCAATGCAATATGTCATTTGATTTCTTTTTTTTTAATCACTTTATTAGGGGCTCATACAACTCTTATCACAATCCATACATACATCAATTGTGTAAAGCACATTTGTGCATTCATTGTCCTCGTCATTCTCAAAACATTTGCTCTCCACTTAAGCCCCCGGCATCACGTCCTCATTTTTCCCCCTTCATCCCCCCTACCTCCTCCCTCATGAGCCCTTGATAATTTATAATTATTATTTTGTCATATCTTGCCCTGTCCAACATCTCCCTTCACCCAATTTTCGGTTGTCCATCCCCCAGGGAGGAGGTCACATATAGATCCTTGTAATCAGTTCCCTCTTTCCAACCTACTCTCCCTCTACCCTCCCAGTATCACCACTCACACCACTGGTCCTGAAGGGATCATCCGCCCTGGATTCCCTGTGTTTCCAGTTCCTATCTGTACCAGTGTATATCCTCTGGTCTAGCCAGACTTGCAAGGTCAAATTCGGATCATGATAGTGGGGTGTGGGGGGTGGAAGCATTTAGAAACTAGAGGAAAGTTGTATTTTTCATCGTTGCTACATCACATCCTGTCTGGCTTGTCTCCTCCCCGAGACCCCTCTGCAAGGGGATCTCCAGTGGCCTACTAATGGGCTTTGGGTCTCCACTCTGCACTGCCCCCCTCACTCACTATGGTAAGATTTTTTGTTCTGATGATGCCTTATACCTGGTCCCTTCAACACCTTGTGATCGCACAAGCTGGTGTGCTTCTTCCATGTGGGCTCTGTTGCTTCTGAGCTAGATGGCCGCTTGTTTACCTTCAAGCCTTTAAGACCCCAGACGCTATATCCTTTGATAGCCGGGCACCATCAGCTTTCTTCACCACTTTTGCTTATTCACCCGCTTTGTCTTCAGCAGTTGTGTAGGGAAGGTGAGCATCATAGAACGCCAATTTAATAGAACAAAGTATTCTTGCATTGAGGGAGTACTTGAGTGGAGGCCCAATGTCCTTCTGCTACCTTAATACTTAAACCTATAAATAAAGGCACATAGATCTATTTCCCCATCTTCATATATAAATATATTTGCATATGTACATGTCTTTATCTAGACCTCTATAAATGCCCTTTGCCTCCCAGTCATTTGATTTCTTGACTGCAGCTTCCATAGGTTCATAAAGCTGTCTCAATGTTTTTCACGACAACCCAAGAAGTGCAGTCAAAGCACCCTAAGTATCATTTCTATCTCATTTCATTTGGAAATATTTTAGTAAGCATCTCTAAAAGAAAAAGTCTCTGATGGCATAATGACAATATTATCATACCTCAAAAATTTTTAATATCAAATATCTACTGTTTAAATTTTATTTTTCCAGTTTATTCAAATCAGATCCAAGTAATGTCCAAATAGCATAATTTTAAAATGAGCCATACTCACCACAAATGTAAACAGTCAAAATAGCCCATTTCAGGCAGAGATTGAGATGACTAATAATAAAAATGCAAGCATCTTAAGAACCAACTGCTGCACGTGAAGTTGGTTGTTTTTGTTGCCTTCGTTTCCCAGACCTTCTAATGGATGTGAGAACTTTTAAGTCCTGTATTAAAACCCTCTACACCTACAATGTATGGAGCAATGGCTTGTATTTTCCTGACTGAACCCTGACACCAGAAATTTCTCACACTATGTCCTGTCATGCATCAAAATAAAGAAAGATGAAGACTTTAAATTAAGTTAGCTGACCGATAAAGCATGCCTGGTGAGGCATGATATCCTCACCTAGCACCGCAGTCTAAGAGAGAGGGGGAATAAACTGAGAATCTTCAATCTAATAAAAACAGTAAGACTTGGCAATCAACTAGATATGAGAGATGAGGGAGTTAGAAGAGTCAAAACAGACTACAGGTTGTTGGCATAGGTAACTAAAAGAGCCTGCCTGTGCAAAGATGAGGAGAAATTTAAGAAAGCTATACCATTTTTAACAGCTAAAAAAGAGAAAATATATGAAAATCTAACAAAACATGCATAGTATCTGTTCAAAACAATAAAATGCTGATGAAAGAAATAGAAAAATGATACATTAAAAAACTCACTCAAGGTCATCCAGTCAATTCTAACTCACAGTGGTCCTGTAAGACAGGGTAGAGCTCACCCTGTGGGATTGGGAGACTCTGTCTGGGTATAAAAAGCCTTTTTCCTCCCATGGAGTGACCGGTGGTTTCAAACTGCTGACCTTGCTATAGTTGCCCAACTCGTAACCAATATGCCACCCAAGATGTCAAATTTCTCCAAAATTTATCAACAGATTAAACAAAAGCCACCAAAATCCAAGGAAGATTTTTTATATGCAGAGATTATCTGTTTCTAAACTACACATGGAACCACAACATCTAAAACAATTTGAAAAATAAAAATCATTATCCAATTTTAAGACACTTGATTGTGAGTCAGAACTCAATAGAACTGCCTTATTTTTCTGAGTCTTGCAACTTTTCCACTTTTGACAGGATGAAATATTTGATTTACCATAATTTTAGTAAGTTGATATCAAGTAGTGTAAATCCTCCAATTTTGTTACTTTTTAAGATTATTTATTTGAATTGCATGGTATCTATGTAGCACATAGATACTATATGTATGTAACAGTCAGTTACATGCAAGTATGTAACAAACTCACTGTATCTTTATATGTAGCGATCTATATACGGTGTATTATTCCTAGGGTTATGCTTCCAGTGTAATGGTAATGGTGAACAGAATGAGAAAAGGCTTATTTGCCTTTTAATATTTGATCATGAGTCAAAGAAAAAATTTAAGGTACAGATGGGAAATAGCTATTTGGTTTACACTAAATGCAGACACATTCACCTAAAGCTCATTTAATATCTATTTTCCACATATGAATGAATCGCTGCCTGATAAGTATAGGACAAAACACCTTCTTTATTAATCTTGCCTGTACTGTAACTAAGACAACCCTGTGCCACGTAGACTACTTGTCCACTCACTTAGTGGAAAGGACCCAAGATACAAGTAACTAAGAGAAGGAAGTAAACCAATGCTTTATGATAAACTTAATAGAAATTCAAACTTTCACTACACACCTACCACTTTTATGTAGCAGTTGAAGTGAACCACTACAAAAACATCACTTTACAAACTGAATTATGTATATAAATGATTGATCTATTTAAAGTTTAATTTAAAAGCAACATACCCACAATAAAAGGCAGCCATAAGCATACAAGTCTGAACCTGGAGAGGCAGGTTGTCCCATCTTCAACTCAGGCGACAGCAAACTCAAATTACCAATCCTCATGTTCACTGAAGCACGCTGGCTCTACAAAGACATTGTTAATATTTTAGAGACAATACAGTTTAAGTTGGTTTTCTGTGGAGTATTCTACATTCAATCCACATGCACACACACAAAAATTTGTGTACTCACTTTGGCAGTGCAAATACTTAAAAAAAGAAAAAGATTTAAAATAACTGTATGAATAGTGAATTTCATTTTCTCATGAGTCTATTTTATATAATTTTAATAAAATATATACCATCTTGTTTTCAAATAATTCCTAGCTTTATAAACTACTCTTAAAAATCAATCTCATAAAATCAACACTGATAATTTTGTTATATTTTGTATAATATGAATTTGAGTAAAATCAAAACCACTGTTGATTATCTGGTTTGGTACTCTTTAAAAAAAAAAGTCTCCTAAGGGCAAATAACAATGTTATTTTCTAATTCTAAGTAAAATTTCAATATTATAAATGAAAAAACTTTAATTCTACAAAGCATTTTCCTTCCTTACTGACTCTACTTCAAACATGTCACAGGATGATCAATGATAAGGACATAAACCATGGTTTCTGAGAAACCTTGGCTGAAACTCATGCTTTCTTTTATTGTGTGACCTTGGACTTTTTTAACTTCTTTGAATCTAAATTAATTCTTTTAATGAAAATATCATTCACCTTATAGAGTTATTGAAATATAAAGGTATCAGCACAATGCCTAGCACACAGCAGATATGTCCAAACCAAACGCATTGCTATCAAGACAATTCCCTAGGTGCTACCGTATATACTTGAGTACAAGCCAACCCAAAATTTTCCAACTAAAACTTTCAAAATTTAGTTTGAAAATTTCATGTTGGCTTATACTCAAGCATATACCTATTTTTCCCCACTGATCTTGACTCTTCACAAAGTGTGGCCAAAGACCAGCAGTACTGATATCACCTGGGAGCTTGTTATAAATGCACAATAAGAGGGGCCAGCCCCAATCCCAACTATGTGGACAGCTGCTTCTCCCCCCCAGAAGAATTTATATCAGAGGACAGCACTGTAGCTGCAGCTCAGGGAGAGGGACATGTCTGATCAGAGCACAAGGGAGCAAATGAAAGGGGAGGAAGAGAGAATGGAGCACATCCTGGCCCACCAAGCCTTGAGGACGATATCCCCGCCCAGAGCAGCCAGATTACAGAGATCATATGACCGGCCCTGCTATGAGACACGACATCCCTCACTGACCCATAGCCCTACAGGGGACAACATTGGGAATTGCGCCCAATCTGACCCCACCACACTGAGGCAAAACACTAAGGGAGTGCAACAGAACAACAAGAGGATCAGAGCAAGGAAGTCCTGAGGGAGTATCAAAAATAGACTTTGGGACCAGGGCATGGTACTCCATCAGACTCTACTGGAAAACACTCCTAGAGGCCAACAAATAGTCCTTGAACTATCTACAGGCTTTTCTTTTTTTTCTTTGTTTTCTCATTGTTTTGTTTTGTTGCTTGGTTTTGCTGTCTTGTTTTTGTGCATGTTATTATTTCTGCAGGTCTATCTAGATAATATAGGTGGGATAAACAATCTGGAGGAGAAATCAACAAGACCGACAGTTCTGGTGGGGACATGGGATGGGGGAAAGGAAGTGGTGTTAACAAACCCAGGGACAAGTGAACAACAAGTGATCCATAATCAGTGGTAAGTAGGGTGTAGGAGGCCTGGTAAGGCTTGATCAAGGGCAATGTAACCGAGAGGAATTACTGAAACCCAAATGAAGGCTGAGCATTATAATGGGACAAGAGGAAAGTAACAAGAAACAGAGCAAAGAACTAGGAGGCAAAGGGCATTTACAGAGGTCTAAATAAAGGCATGTACATACGTAAATATATTTATATATGAGGATGGGGAAATAGATCTATGTGCATATATTTATTGGCTTAGTATCAAGGTAGCAAATGGACATTGGGCCTCCACTCAAGTACTCCCTCAATGCAAGTATACTTTGTTCTATTAAACTGGCATTCCATGATGCTCACCTTCCAGACAAAATCACTGAAGACAAAGTGGGTGTATAAGCAAATGTGGTGAAGAAAACTGATGGAGCCCAGCTATCAAAAGATATAGCGTCTAGGGACTTGAAGGTGAACAAGAGGCCATCTATCACAGAAGCAACAAAGTCCACATATAAGAAGCACACCAGCCTGTGTGATCAGGAAGTGTCAAAGGGATCAGGTATCAGGCATCAAAGAACAAAAAATCAAATCATTGTGAATGAGGTAGAGTGCAGACTGGGAACCCAAGACCCATCTGTAGGTAATGGGGCATCCCCTTACAGAAAGATCGCGGGGAGGAGACAAGCCAGTCAGGGTGCAGTGTAGCAACGATGAAACATAAAACTTTCCTCCAGTTTATAAATGCTTCCTCCCCAGCACCCCCCACTATCATGATCCCAATTCTATCTTACAAATCTGGCTAGACCAGAGGATGTACACTGGTACAGATAGGAACTGGAAACACAGGGAATCCAGGACAGATGATACCTTCAGGACCAGTGCTGAGAGTGGCAATCCTGGAGGGAGGGGGGTAAAAAGGGGAAATCAATTACAAGGATCTACACATAACCTCCTCCCTGGGGAATGAACAACAGAAAAGTGGGTAAAGGGAGATGCCAGACAGTGTAAGATATGACAAAATACTAATAATTTATAAATTATCAAGGGTTCATGAGGGAGTCGGGAGTGGGGAATGAGCGGAAAAAATGAGAAGCTATACCAAGGGCTCAAGTAGAAAGCAAATGTTTTGAGAATAATGATGGCAAAAAATGTACAAATGTGCTTTATACAATGGATGGATGGATGGGTTGTGATAAGAGTTGTATGAGCCCTGAATAAAATGACTAAAAAAAAAAAAGAAATGCACAATAACTCCAGCAAAGAAATGCTGAGTAAAACTTAACATTTTAACAATATCCCCAGTGATTTATGTGCCCTTTAAAATGTGGAAAGCAAAGCAGTGATGCTGACTACAAACTACTTTTCAAATTCCTCTTCCTTATTAATAATACATCAATCTGAAAGCGGTGTGGAAATGGAACAAAAGGTACATTTAATCAATATTTTTAAATGGGTAAGTCTTATGTTCTGGAAATAATAACAGTTGGCAGATTAGTGTCAAGGAGGAAGAGTCAAACATGGAGTATTAATGTGTTTATAGTCATGTACACTATATGCTCCAAATGATTACAGTTTTACTTTTTCACTTTCTCGTTTTTCAATCATATGAAAACTACTGAGAATGCATGCATACAAGGATATCACCCTATGACTTGTAGATGATCAAAGTATGAAACATATCAAGATACAAATCTCTGAACAAGTGTTGGCAAGAATGTAGAAAAATTAGAGCCCTTGTGAGAATGCAAAATGACAAAATGAAAGTATATGCTCACAATAAAATTTGTACATGAATATTCATAGCAATATTAGTCACAGTAACCCAAAGGCAAAAACTACCCAGCTTTCTTACCCATCAACTGGTAAGTAATACAAACAGAATATAACTATGTGTACGAAGAAACATTACTCAACCAGAAAAATGATTTCTTTTACGTCACTCCTGTACAACATATCAGCTAAGTCCACATCCGGATACATTCTACATGGGTGAATATTGAAAATATTATGCTAAGTGAACGTTGTATATCACAGAAGGCCTTCCAGTTTATAATTCCAGGCATATGAAATACCAGTATAAGTGGCGTATCCATAGATAGAAAGCACTGAAGGGAAAGGAGAGTGGGAGAGTAATTGCTGATAGGCATAAGGGTATTTTTCACCAAACCAAAATCAAACCCACTGCCATTAAGTCCATTTTGATACCGACCCTATAGGTCAGAGTATAACTGCCCCTGTGGGTTTACGAGATTAAATCTTTGTCCCAGTAGAAAGCTGCTTCTTCCCACAGAGGGGCTGGTGATTTCAAACTACTAGCAATCCAACAATTAACCTACAGCACCCACCATTACATAATGATCAATACACAACTTAGTGACTATACTAAGAACCTCTGAACTTTATTACTTGAAAAGTAAATGATTATGAGGGAGAGAGGTAAAAACGAGCTGTAAGAGCCCCCAATAAAATGACTTATTAAAAAGCAAATGTTTCGAATAACTGGCAACTTTAAAAGCACCATATACTTGTAATTTTAACTTTCTTTGCTTTTCGTGAAGTCTTAGTCCTGTGGAGAGCTTTGCCTCAGTAAATGAGCAGGGATGGAGTTTTTGTTTTCTTAATTTCAGTTACTGAAGTTTTTAACCTGTATAAGTGAATATTACATATATCTTAGTCTAAAAAGCCTTCCTACATGTATATATTTTTATTTTCTCAATAGTTATTTAAAACCTATACCAAGGGTAGATTAATAATACTATTATTAGAATTACCAAATGTCTCTGAATAAACAAAAGTGGTGAAGAAAGATGATGGTGCCCGGCTATCAAAGGATATAGTGTCTGGGGTCTTAGAATTACCAATTGTCTCTGAAATTATTTCTCAACAGGCTGATAATGCTGCCTCTAAAACAGACCAGGAAAATACACACACACAAATGAATTTCTAGCTCACAATTAAAAGCCCTGATCTAAAAAGTTATTTCTTAACAAGTGGCCCTGCTCAATACTTGCCCTCATAAAGTGATCACTAAAGATATGGGTGCTCTCACAAGGTGTCCTGAAGAAATCAGACAGTGCCTGGCTGCCAGAAAGACTAGCATCTGAGGTCTTAAAGACTTGTCTAAGTGAAGTGACAGCTAAGCCCGTACGGAAGGACCACCCCAGCCCGTGTAATCTAATGATTGTAAACACTAAAATCCAAGTTCAGAGGAAGAAATTGTACTTGAAATTAAATTTGGAGCATCTAGTATGCCAAACGTTATGAATGATAGTAAAAGCCCAAAAACAATTGCAGAGGCCCCACGTGGATTAACCCTTCACTGAACTCCCTCAGACCATTGCCCAGGAATATGAACACAATGGAACCCTGGACCTCGATGCTAATCCATACTAGAAGGAGCATTGAGATGCAATGCAGTCAAGTCCCGAACCTCTTTTTCCCATAAGAAATAACTGAAAATGTATTAATCTGTTCTCGACCACCAAGTTTTTACCCTAACCTTGCCTTTTTATACAAAACATTACACAGAAATGTCAAAGTAAATAAGTTCAGAGTTAAATAATATCATTTAAATAAGAAACACAACATTTAAAAGTTTTTAACAACTGCAGTATGGCCTACACCTTAAGATTGCTGAGGACCTGGATCTGTGGACACAATGTGGAAAGGAGGTATGGAGAGAGTCACTGTTTGAAAGGGAATTCCCTTCCACAAAATCAACTGGTAGCTGCTTTTCACAAGTTTTCTGTCCCTTCTGTTTAACGTGGTCTGCTGTCGGCGTTTCCTTATCTAAAAGGGTTTCCTAAATTATCATCAACAATATCGAGAACACAGTTAACCAGTTCTTCATGATGATTCTTTTCAAAAATCTCTTTCTTAGGACCCATGTTTTTCATCTAAAAACAGTAAAAAAAAAACCACAAAAAGTAAGAAATGTATAGCAAAACGCTTGGAACACAGCTGCAAAAGGTAAAACAATGCATACTGACAATGCCAACTAACGCCAAGTGACTGAAACAATCAGCTTTGTTCACAAGAATCGCATGCGTTGGGTCGGATTCTGATGTTTTGTTCGAGCTCCGATACAAACTTTTCTCCACATTTCACGAGGAAACTGATTATATCGAGTTCTGATGTGGTCGAATACCAGGGTTCTACTGTAGTCCTGCCCTCAGACAGAGTGCATTGGGAAGTGGATTACTGTAGCTATAATGAGGTTAAAACCTAACATGTTATAAATTTTCCTTTGGCTCATTTTTAATTTATTGTACTGTGCTCTGAGATTGAGGTTTTTCTGTATTTTATTTTGTTGTTGTTGGGGTTTTTTGTATGCTTTTCTTTATATGAAATCCAGGGTAGATAGAAGTCTATAGAGACAGTAACTAGATTAATAGTTCCTTAGGGTTATTATGCAGGGGAGGTCAGGGGGAAATTGGGAGCTAATAATTGTGTGTAGAAGAATTGAGAAACTGTTTTAAAACACTGTGGTAATGACTGCACAACTCTTCTTAATATATTTAAACCATTGAGGGGAAAAGTAAACTTTATGGTATATCAATTAAGATGAACTTTATCTCAGTAAATATTCTTTATTTAAAAGGTAATTGCTCCTTTTTATCCTGTGTACCAAGGTGGGAGGGGGGATTACAATACGTTGTCCCATCTTTGATATCACTATACATTGCCTGTTCTGCATTGACATGGCAGCAAACTAACAGCCACTTAAATGGGAAAGTCCAAGGTTCCTTAGTGGCACTGTTAAGAACGGTCACTGTTAATCAAAATATAAGGAACGGTTCCTTCCAAAGTTAATCTGTGTGTGAGAGAAAAGCACATCGTATTAAAAGGATGGGCACCTGATTTTCCATGCATATTTCCTAGAGATTCCTTACTAGTGATACAACAATTAACTAATGTTGTTGTCAGTGCTATCGACTACATCAGGCTGCTCCTAAGACTTAGCAGTTAAAAAATACCATGTTGATACCAGATAATTGCTTATATCACGATAGACCTTAACTAAGAAAAATACCTTATGATAGATTGCCGTATCATGTACCATTGCTCAGTTACTACCCAGTAGTACCAAATGAAGCATAGAATCTATTTTTAAATGCTATTTTACCACAGATTTGCTGAAGTCAAAGTCTCCAACAATTCCTTGTTCACGATTTAAAGCAAACACATTATTCTGATGCAGTGCGCCATGGATTATACCAGCCTTGTGTAATGTACGCAGGCCCTGCGCCACACCTTTCATGACCTTTGCAGTCTCCTATAGACAAAGACACACACACAAAAGTAATCAGGAAGTTGGCAAATCATTTTCATAACTTAATCAAATTTCTCATTAAAAGACTATTCCAAACTTGACTAAATAAACCATGAATGCAGCATAGAGAATTAAACACTGAATGAAGTCCTGAAGGTGAAACTGGTGATATATATAGCTATTTAAACTGATATCACTATATAAATGTCACTATATATGTGATGTGTATCATATATGTGTGTGTATCTATACTGTCTCTAAGAAGAAAAATGGAAAATGATCATGTAACTAGAAAAGAAAAAAATTGAAATAGTGTTACTAGGTAGAAAAATCAAACCTTTCAGTAGTATTATTAATATTAAATTTGTTGTTAGTTGCCGTCCAGGAGATTCTATTCACAGTGACCCTGTCCATGCATGTCATGGAACTGCGCTCTGGCTTTCAATAGATGCTCTGTTTAGGAAGCAGAGCCCCAGGTCTTTCTTACAAAGAATTTCTGGATGGACTCTAACCCCCAACCCTCGGTTATAGCCAAGCACGTAAAAAATTACACCACTCTGACTCAAGCTGCCACGTAACAAAATACCAAGCACTGCTCCAAGCAGAGCTAGCTAACTTCAAGTCCCAACTCTGCCTCTGCGAGTCCCTTAATTCCTATCAATTTAATTTTCCCTCACCTTTAAAATGGTATAATTCACATCACGGGGTTGATATAATACTTAAATGAGAGAATGCAAATCAAAAATTATACAGTTTATAGCATGTGAGAATATGCCCTCCATAAATATTAGGTGTTACTTTCTGATTTAACACATTCATGGAAGTAGTGTGGGTTTTTTGGTGGTTGCTTTTACTTACTTCTGGTGTTAAAGGTGTACTGGCTTGAATGGCACTCAGGTTTGCCCTCGGGTAGTATGGGACCATCAGATAAGCCATAGGGTCAGACTAAGAACCAAAACAGATCATTACAGAATGTGACTCAGGGTGAAAATGCCTCTTCTTTTCGATACATCAGATATATTTTCCCCTCATACTTGGCATTCAAAATCCAGTGAGCATATTATACATTTACTGCACATACCAGTTTCGAACAGACACATTTCAAGTGCTTGAAATGAAAGGCTCCGATAGATTCACAGCCAGCCATTGGGCCGATTCTGACCCATCGTGGCCCTATAGAACAGAATGTTCCTTAGGGTTTCTTGTTGTTTTTAATCATTTTATTGGGGGCTCATACAACTCTTATCACAAGCCATACATACATCAATTGTGTACAGCACATTTGTACGTTTCTTGCCCTCAACATTCTCAAAACATTTGCTCTCCACTTAAACCCTTAGCGTCAACTCCTCATTTTTCCCCTCCCTCCCCGCTCCCCCATTGAACCCTTGATAATTTATAAATTATTTTGTCACATCTTACACTGTCTGATGTTTCTTTAATGTATTTTTAGTATTTATTAATTTCTGCAAGATATTTTTTGCTTTGTGTTAGGAGGAATGAGTTCCTGCTTTAAAACTTGTAACAAAAAGTTGTTCTAAATAAAATGGGCTCTGCAAGTAGTTGGTGTAAGAACTTTACCTTACATTGGGTGACCAGATTTTAACATTGGTAAAGCCAGACACCATTGATAAAACTCATATCTTGGCAAAATAGCCAGATGGCAGCCGAAAACCGTATACCCTAGCTTGTGCATTCTTTCCAAAAATCGGGACTTTTTTAAAACGCCGGGGACGCAGGAAAAATTGTTAAAAAGCAGACGTCTGGTCACCTTACCTTACACAAAAACAGGAATATCAATGGTAGTAACCCGGATTCTTCTCTAGTTTCTCTCCAAGCTCTGTGATACTCTGCTGCTCTCTGAATCACCTTGGCTTCTGTGTCAACATCCACAGAATAGCCCTGTGCCAAAAAGAAGCAGCACTAGTAAGTCCAAGATTAAAAATGCCACTGTAATTATGTATCATTAAAACATATACACAATAAATCACTTTCATAGAAAACAAATTATATCTAATTTTATCTTTTAATTTTATAAGTACTAAATCTTCTATCTCAACGACCCTTTCATGGAGTCACCCAATTCATAGCAGTAGCAAAATTACAGTTATGAAGTAGCAACAAAAATAATTTTATGGTTGGGAGTCACCACAACATGAGAAACTGTATTAAAGGGTTGCGGCATGAGGAAGGTTGAGAACCACTGTTCTGTTTTGAAAGCTGTAATAAGGAAAGGAAATGAACAACTCTACCTATCTCGCAGCCACTAAGACCAAGTAAATAATACAATTATCACGATCAACAGTTTCTCAGTTCAGTGAAAAAATATTAAGATAATTAAAATATACTAAGGATATTAAAGACATTACACTGTGTACAAGGAGCTAAGATCTCGAAGAGGAAAAAAAAACGTTAAAAAGTGTTGGATAGAATAAGTTTACCCTAAAAGAGAAAACAAATATATCCTGTTAAGTGCATATGTTCTTTAAGTAAATAAGGGCAACTTTAAACTTAAAATTAGTTCTAGCAAACAAACTAGATGCACAATCATGGTGCCAGTTAACTCAAAGAGTATGTCTTTGCTTTCCTGGAAAGTAACACAACCACTCCCTTTTATACTTCTGATTCTCCCACAGAACAGAAGAACTTAAACTTACCTTTAAAAGAATCACCTGCCCATTAACCTCAGAACATACCAGAGGACGCTTGCTGCTAAGTTCCTTCAAGGGCTCAGCATCAAGAAGATCCCGTTCCAAGCTCAGAGTGAGAAGACCACCAGAGTTCTAAGTGCAAGTTTGTGTTAGCGAGTTGAAGAATCCATACAATCCCAGCACGTTTAAATCATCATCATAACTACTTTACATGTTATTAAAGATACTGGGCATCGTCAACCTTACTGAAGAACCAGTAAAATAAAAACGTGTAGAAGTTTGTATTTTTCCACTTCCTGGTTCTTGAACTGCTCCTATCAAAGTGTCAACACCAATACACTGAATAGTTATTACAGATTTAGAACAGATTCTGGGAAGACTTAGGCTAACCAGACATGGTTCCATGGAAACTTTGACTTGATTTGAAAAGCTCCTATGTTTTCAAAAATACTAAAATGGCATGACCAAAAACTGTGGTCTTAGAATGGAAAATTTTTTAAATTATGACTAAGTAACACCTCTGCAACTACTTTACGTGAGACCCTCAAACGTGAGCATGGCTTTATACCTGTTCATTCTCCTGGACGTGTCTGCTACTTAATAAAACCAGGTTCCTTGCATTTTAAATCAGGCTTTTATCATAGGATAGCTTTCGCAAGAGAGGCTGTGGAAATGTTTTCTTGATTTTATTAACATGTTTTCTACAGATTAAATAATGCATATTATGTAACAAGTGACTAAAAAGAATGATTCCTACTAAAAAAAATAAAGAGTGATTCCTAAGTTAAAAACCTTAAAATCATTAAAGGATTCAGAAGACATGATTCAAACCTTTCTGTAACACACGTCTCCACAGTTTCAAGACACTGTCCCAGAATATTCACTCACCATACTACATGAGATAGTCACTAAAGCCAGAACTATACAATTCCCATGGAAACACCCACATAATTTTAAAGCCAAGTCTTGAAAGGCTGTGTGGTAAGTGCTTAATAATTTAAGAGACCTTAATGTTACATGTGTATGATAATAAAATTACATGTCTATATCAACATCCCTTTCTGTATGACATCTAAGGGATTATTGTGCACAACCTTAATGACAGTTGTAAAGAATCTCTCAGAAAATAATTTCTGCTAAAGCACTGCAAAAGGAAAAAAACGAATAAATATCTCATGCACTCTCTCATCCTTTGCAGGTAGCACATAAAAAACACAAATCTAACAGATTCTGCCCGGGGCATAAGAGTTCACCAATCCTGCTCCACAACTGTCTAATACATTCATGTCCCAGCCTTTGAATCCCGCCTCCATAGCAAACCATACCCACACCGTTATCTCTATCTTAACCTTCTTCTCTAGAAGCTTCTCTGCTTAAACTTATAAGATGCACTCTATTTAAATTCCTCATAGTTAACGTGATTCTGCTTTTATTCTAATGCTTTACGTAGCAGTTAAAAACTAGTTACTATTACTTCAATAAACAAACACCTCTGATGCAAAATAAGTGCTATGCAATACTGAATATTGAATGAGCATATGGAAAGGGAAAAACATGCTAATCAATGTAAAAATATCCACTATGCCACTATTAAAGGCAGACTTGAGAAAAAGTTCTATAATTCTCAGGAACTATTCATAAGGAACTTTTACAGTGAGGATACAAAAAAATACCCACACACAATGTTAACACTAGCACTTCTGAACACACTCTGCAGAGTAGCAGTCTCAGTGAAACCCCAGTTTACCATGTATTTATGTAATCCTATTTCAGGATGAAGTAGAGGCAGCTCAGGAAACCATTGCTGTACCAAGCTATTCAGCTTCGCCTAAGGTTGAAAAATATATTAACCGTTAATATATATTCCATTTGGATACGCTGCTCCTCAGGAAAAAATATCATCACTTGCCTTACTATGTACCTAACCAGATACATAATCACCAATTTGCTTATACTTCAAGAAATCACAAATAAAAAAGCAGGGTCACTGTAGAGCTAAATTACCATCTTACTAACAGAATAAAAACTTAATTTCCAACTTTAGCTTTATATGCATATGTAAACAAACAATTTTTGTCTAAAATCGTATCTATAACTCACTTCCATGAACACTGTACAGAAACAGTGAAGACACACCACTTTGAATCATAAAACTCACTATTTCTTAAAATATTAAGAACATGGTAGCATTTTACAATAGTGGCTATTTCATTAAGGAGAAAAGAATGCATAATTCTACAAAAATCCCTTGGAAGCAAATGTGAAATTGAGGATCCTTGCACACACACACACAGTTAAACACTAACTGTGGACATTTTTCAAGTCATAAGGATGCAGCTGTCAGGCTGCATAGGTGAATATAAGTTACACTAAATTTACTAAATTTACATTTACTAAATTACTCGTAACTTTTAAATGTCATTATTTTGGTAGTATTTTGCATTCAAAGTACTTTTCTGTAACTAACTTCATTCCTCTGACATTTATGCGATAGGAAATATCAGCTTCTTTGCTTCTAAAGAGAAAATATACTGATTCTCCCATGTCCACAAAAGATATAACTTCCTCCCAAAACCAAGTGGTTTAATTTTGTTAATATTCTTCAAATTATGCTACTTATTAAAGCTTTCATTGCAGCATTGTTAAAATGATATTCACTTAGAATAAGGGAGAATATCATTTCATGACTTGACTTTAAACAAAAAGGTGGTATTCAAACGTGTTTCTCCCAGATATTTGTACATCGATGTTCACTACAGAATTATTCACAACAGCCAAAGAGTGGAAACAACCATGTAGTCATTAACAGATAAATAAAATGTGGTATATATCCACACAATGGAATAGCATCCAGCCATAAAAAATATGAAGTTCTAATGCATACTACAGAACATGAACTTACAAACATTATGCCGTGTCAAACAGATCAGACACAAAAAACCTAACATTTTGTAGTACCACTTATATGAAATATCTGGAGTAGGCAAACAGACAGAGACTGAAACTTATTAGTGATTACACCAGGAGCCGGAGAGACGGTAGAGTGGTCATCACTTAAGAGTACTGAATGTCGGTTTCAGGGGTTGAAAAACTTGGAAGCAGTGGTTGTACAATATGATAAATTTAATTAATATAATTGCATTGTACTTAAAATGGCTCAATTACAAAGTTTTGTTATATATTTTTTGCCCAAATAAAATTATTTTTAAAATCTATTTGTGGTATAGTCTCGGTTCTAAAAACACACAGACAGAAGACTGAAAGGAAGTAAATTCACAGTGTGCAATGATTACCTCGGTTACCTCCTAGTAGTACAGTTACAATCATGACTTTTCCTCTTTGTAATTCCCACAGTTGGGACACTGGTCATGAGTAATTTTGTCATCAGAAATGAATTCAAATTTCACACGAACATATCACACCTCTACCAGTACCACACCCTGTAGCCACCAAGGCCATCCTGACCCCGGCAGCCCGGGAGCTTCACAGTAGAGTGGCGCCACTGTTTTCACAGCTGCGACCTGTCGGAAGCAGGAACTTCACGGTGGCTGACACCACGACTTTCTGCATTAGTAGCCAAGCGCCTAACCATGTGAACCAACAGGGCTATGCGAATATTTCTAGCCTTGTGATGACGGCTGTAATCTTCAAAAATCCAATACATGAATTCAATTTCTAGAGGAAAACTAGATTCAAGACTTCAAAATATTAACTACTTACATATTCTTCTTGCTCATGGTAAATTTCCTGGAAAACACTATTGTGCAACTGAATTATTTCTTGTTTTATTTTCTCAATTTCAGATCCATCAGGGTCATCAGACTTTGAAGAAAACAGAAAAAAATGTCTTACAGGCTTCAAAGTAGACTGACACCAATCTTCCAAGTGAGAACAAGTACAAGTTCTGCCTAATCTGTAATGGTTTCTTTGTGCCGAGCACCAAACAAGGACTCCGGGGGTATACGGCAGGTTATGCACTGGACAAGGTCGGCAGCCCCTGCTCTGCGGGACAAAGATGAGGCGACCCGCTCCTGCAAAGAGTTCAGAAGCCCTGAGGAGCATGAAGTGTGAATTTTATATCAAAGAAGTACTAGGGAAGAAAGGAAGGGGAGGGGAGGG